TTAGACTTTAAGACATGGCCAATTGGCTGTAGTACATGCAACATATTTGCTGTGTAAGCTGCTGGCACATGCTATAAATGTGACACTAAAGTAGCATGGTACCATGAAGCAACGTGTCTAATCTCTTGACTAACCACTGCTAACAACCAGTTGTCTTGCTTTGTATCTGAATTAAACGGTAGGGCAAGACAGAAATACTGTGAGCCTGTAAGTTCTGAATGAGGTGGAAAACATAAAAAGACAAGGCAAAGCAAGGCACTCCAGTAGGCACAAAGTGAGTAAGCACTAAGAAAGTAAGAGAAGTGCCCAGAGAAACATGTCTGTCCTTGAGCACAAAGCAGCCTGGCAACAGAATTGTAATGAAAGCTGTTTGTGTGCTCCAAAGTGCAGCACTGAAGTGAATAACTGTATTCTAAGTGATTCCGATTTGTGCTGTGATGATGTGGCAAGTCTGGTGCAATTCCAATGTAAGGGGGGGCGCAGGTGATCATTGCCTATACAGCATGCCCTGAGATGTTGGTAACCATTGGTCAAGGTGGAGGTCTGGAAGAGCAGCTGGTGAGCTGGAACCACCAGGTACCCATTCTGACTTTCATGTCAGGGAATGTCATCATCTAATTTCTCTCTGCTGCATTGGAGAATAGGATACTGCATATAAACGATGCATGTATCGGTAATAATTAGATGTTAATGCATGTAAATAGGCCTTTGTTGTTCATCACAGAACAATTATTTTGCCATTCAAACCTTAGGTAAAAAATTGGTCTTCTCTTGACATTGAGAATCTAATTTTATTGATCTCACCATAGTTTTCTAAGTGACTCACTAATGCTCAATGCATTCAGGGGCTGGGAAGATTTTGCAATAAGTAACAAAAGACACCACATTCATGACTAGATAATTAACAATAAAAAGCTATATTGTTGGATTTATAAAAAGAACAGCAGAAATTTGTCTTTGGAAGAGACCAGGGGTTTTGAAATTGGACACATAGTTCTTTGCCCAAGAAAATACTGTGCTGAGAGTTTGAAGCCGTCCTGCTGATGAATGCAAACCTCAATGGAGCTTCAAAAGTGCTGTTAATATGGCCCACTCTAGATTTAGTGACTTTCTTGTTACTTTGTTGGCAGTAGTGTTGCCCATTTGAAAGTGTAACTATGTGTTGATAATCTGACTTTTAGATGTAAATTTCTTAAATTTTAAATGACTTTATAATTTTTCGTTTGAAATGTTGTATTCCTTTTGTTCATATTATGACAGCGATATGCAGCATCAGTGTTTTGACTTTGCTGTTTCGACCTGAATATTTGACAGTGGCAAGTTTATTTTCCAACAGTTTCTTATGCCCATCTTGATTTCACTGATATTCCTGTGTATGTTAGTGGCCACATGTTCATGCCTCCATTCAAAAAACAGACTGCTATATGGACCTGTTATCTGCTAAAGTCTGATGTGAAAATAACCTATCCCAAAGGACTGGTTCTTCTCATAGATGAACATAATTTATTACATTAAACTCTTATGCCACCTCATTCTTTCAATGCAGAACCAAAGACAAGTGCCAAATAGTTAGGTTGCTGTTTCTACTGAAACAGGGAGGCTTGTTTGCATAGGGCAACAAATCCTTTGCCCTCACTGTGAAGGAGGCAAGAAAAGGAGCTCAAAAGGGTACCAACGCTTTTCCTGACTGGTAGCATTTCCAACTGCATTCTAAATTGTTGTCATATACACTGTTCAAAACGTCTGCTATCTCCTCAAGTAAAATGCACTGCTGCCCACTGGAGAGCCAAACAATTCAAACCTTCTCATCCTACGCTGGAGGATAGAAATCAAGAAGGGAGCTGGGGCTGTGCCATTTGTTTGCTCATCGACATTTATTTATTTTATGCTTCCACATCAGGTGTTCTTTTTTGACTGGTACAGTACTCCTTTCTTCATCTTAGCCTTGGAAAATTTATGAAAATAATCAATGTGCACTTAAAACTGATGATTGCTAACAGCCGCTCTTTCACTATATGCAACTACTTCCTTTCAGTGGGCACATCCCTTTATATTTGAGCTGCACGTGAGATCTTCCAAATCTGACTTCAGGCAAATTCCAATGTAATGCCAAACTGTACTGACCAGACCAAATTTAAATTTTGTTCAGTTTTGCATTGCATAGGAAATGGTACATAAAAAACAAAATGACTGAGCATCAACGTCATGAAATGCTAAGAGAAATTATAGATTGGCAGTCTTAAATAAAGTGGAATCTCATTAGATCGGCAATATTGTACTGTGACACAGATCACTCAGTGAATCTGAGTTTCAGAGCAACATGCACTTATACATCTATGTTTTGTCTGCCGCTATGGATAGTGAGAGCAGAAGCTACAACTTTATTTCCATCACATGCTAAATCCCAGGAATCTCTCCCACTCTTACTAACTGATGATCAACCTATTTGGCTGAGTTATGATTGCATTTTCCTCGGCCTTCAAGCCTGAGGTGGGACACAAACTTGGCACTTCAGCTGAGAGGGAAGGGTACTATCCAGTCTGCCAGAAGAATTCAGAAGAATTCCACCAGAAGGATTCGGGTACATAATTCTTTGAAGTTTGCATCACATATAGATAGGTTAGTTAAGAAGGCATTTAGCACACCTGCCTTCATTGCTCAGATGTTTGTGTATAGGAGTTGGGACATTACTTTGAGGTTGTATAAGACATTGGTGAGGCTTCTTCTGCACTATTGTGTCCAGTTCTGGTCTCCCTGTTATAGGAAGGATTTAATTAAGCTGGAGAGTGTTCAGAAGAGATTTACCAGGATGTTGCTGGAAATGGAAAGTTTCAGTTATAAGGAGAGGCTGGATAGGCTGGGACATTTTTCACTGGAGCATAGGAGGCTGAGAAGTGAATTAGTAGAAGTTTATTAAATTGTGAGAGTTAAAGATAAGGTGAATGGGAGGTATCTTTTCCCAAGGGTGGGGGATTTCAAGACTAGGGTGCTTATTTTTAAGATGAGAAAGAGAAAGAATTAAAAAAGAAGACATGACGGGCATGAGAAGTTTGTGTGTGGAGTGAACTTCCAGAGAAAGTGGTGGATGTGGGTACAGATACAATATTTAAGACATTTAGGTAATTACATGGATAAGAAATGTTTTGGAGGGATATGGGCCATATGCAGGCAGGTGGGACTAGTTCAGTTTGGGATTGTGGTCAGCATGGACTAGTTGGACCGAAATGTCTGTTTCTGTGCTGTATGACTTTAATTTCTTGTACTAGATGATATCTCATTCTTCTTCTGTCCGGCGGTAAGTTGAATTCTCAACACGATAACTTCTGACAAAGGTGGAGCAAGGAGGCAGGTCCCGAATCCACCATAACCAGAGTGGGATTGAACCTCATGCTGTTAACATCAATCAAATTCACGCAGTCAACTTACTTCACCATCAACCCCAGCTCCCCCCCCCCGCATCCCCATCCCCCACCACAAGGCAGATCAAGCTGCAGTAGTAAAATGTGTTATAGTCGGGAGCTGTGGAAGATGTTTCAGTTTCTTTCCATCACATGGCTAATCAGGAATCGCTCTCACTCTTGAGGCGTGTTAGAAAAATTTACAAGTTGATTCTTCACTTGCTCGGCCACCTTATAAATGTGCCTTCCTTGACTATCAAGTCCTAGAGTGGGTATTGAAGTCAAAGCTTCTGCCTTAAAGACTCTGCACCACCTCCAATAGATAATACACATTAAGTAAATTCAGGTTATTTTCAAAAGAAAGCTAAGACCAAAGTCCATAATTGGAATTCAGTGGAATGTAAATTTAGAATCCGTGTCAAGTAAAAAACATAATACTGAAAAATTAGAAAAGTGTTTTAGAACAACCTAAGATTGAGACCAAAATCTCAAATTAGACAGATAATCTGCATTGATGCCGAAACCACTTCACCTGAATACAAAGGTGTGATTATATTGCGGTCATAACGAGTACAGTATTCGTTTCCCGTAAGTCAAATGTTAATTTCTAATCTTTTTAAATTATATGTTCAACCAAAATTTGAACTTTATTTTTCCCGGTCAAACAGATGCAAAGTGACGATGGGACAGATGCACGGTCGATTCCCCGATAAATTCTAGTTAATACTTAAGAAGTAATAACGTGCAGCGTTTTAGGCAATTCGACGACAAATTTCTTTCGCGGGAGGTGAGTGGATCTCAAATTACCCTGCAGCGTTATTTCATTTTGGAAAACTAAAAGGTGAATATGCATACTGCATATTCTAGGTGTAAAGACAAGCACCTATTTAATTGGTGCCGTCCTGCTGTCAGAAACGAGGGTAGTAGCATGTTGCAGATGGCACGGGGACGTTCTCATACATTGTTATTTTGGGAGATTGTGACAATACTTTTAATAGGGTTGCATATCGGATTAAACAAAAAATGCAGCTTGCCTTGTCAATGGGGTATTTGCTCTGACGGTCAGTTTCCGTGGTATCGGGGTGCACCCACCAGAATAACAAACAGGGATTTGTTGGGTTTGGGGGATCATATATTCCAGCATTATGCAGAGACGGGGGAATTGCGAGGAACGGGATTTGTAATGCAAGGCATGCTGCAAATCCATTGAAACAAATGGAGCTATTTATAATGTGGAGAAAAAAAGTGTCAAAATAGGTGGGGAAAAAATGAATGAACTTAAATTTTATTGGGAATGACCTTGTAGGGATAAGGTTGACATCAATGAATGTATAGACTTTTCATAATGAGACAGAGAAAAGATTTTTTTTTTAAATTTGAAAGTAAAAAGGTTAAGAATAAAGGTGTTGCATCCATTCTGGCTATCCAGCGCTCTCATTCATACATACAGTGCATCTGCTGTTCTTCACTGAGCCACATGCTCTTGTATTATTCATACTGCGCTGATCTAAAGAGGCTATTTTTAGGTTGGAGCTGGGCCGCCGTGCGGTTGGCTGGCCCGCTCCGGGGGGAGGAAAGGGGTAGGTCACGTGGTGGGATGTTGTTGTGCGGTGGCGGCGGTGGAAGATGGCGGAGTGTGGAGTTTGACAGTGAGCGAGCGCGCGCGAGAGAGAGAGAGAGAGAGCGCGAGCCAGGGGCAGCGGGGGAATTAAAACGGCAAACCGTCACAACATCACCACTACCGGCGTAACGGATACCGGGACCGACCGATCGGCCGCCTGGCCGACCGACCGACCGACAAGGTACCAGCGGGAGAAGGGGCGGGGGCCAGAAGAAAGACCAAACACCATTTCCTTCTTTTCCGTTTCCTTTTCTTCATCTACTATATTTTATAAATAAGTATATATGTATATATATATTATATAATATATACACACTCGTTTTTTTTAAAAACGCACGATTTGGAAGAGATGCGTCCGTAATATGGCGCTGGAAGGGTAGGAGTTTCACACTAGTGGAAGATGCTTCCCTGTCGAGGCCACTAAAAGAATGACATAATAAATGGAAGGAAATTATTTTGGCTTTGTTTGGAGTGTCTGCTCTTGCAGGGTGAGAATGTAAATCTTTTTCAAGGTGCCTTTTTTCACATTGAATATGCTGTTGGAAAGTGTCACGGTGGGGTGGGGGGGAGGTAAATTTGGTATTTGAGGCAGATGCATTTGAAAACGGCAAAGTTTCCTGTACAGTGATTTTTGTTGTAGGGACGGTGTTTCCTCCCTCCCCCTTCACTTTTTTTTGCAGCGGTATGTGTTTTTTTTTTGACAACTACTACGTGCAGTTTAGGTTGAGCTTGTCACAGTGATAGTTCTGCTGTAAACGTGAAGCAGACGACTGTGCAACAAGTAATATATTACGAATGGAAATGTTCCAATCAGCCCTGGGTTATTATGTGTTACAATGAAAACAAAACTGCATAATGCTTTGCTCACTCCAAAAACAATTTAATCCACGGTGTTAAATTCCACTGCAGTAAAAATACAATATGCATTAAGCACTACTATTCCTCTTCGACATTGGGTTAAAGGTATATTTGATGCCAATGAATACTATAATACAACAGCCTATTGACCATCTTAACCTGAGGTATAGTATTATCTTGAACAATACTGCCCATAAATATTCCTATTATAAGCGTATACACTGAAATCAAAATAATGTTACCTGGGAAAAGGAAATTCTGACAGAATTGAGGGGCACATTGGATTGTATAGATTGCTAAGTGATTTAAAGTGGAGTAAAGTTTTCTTTGTATAGGAAATGAATTGGCTTTTACTGTGTGATTAGTTGGAGTATGGACAAGACACAACACGTGTAGGACAGACACCGCATTTTTGTACCTAAATTATATCCCTCTGCTTTTCAGTTTAAAGCCAGGGAATTGCAGAGGTGTGCCTTTGTAACGGATAAGGCCATTATTACGTGCTAAACAGTAAAACGTAGATCAAAACTGAAATACCGTGGATGCCAGAAATCCGAATTAAAAAGAGAAAATACTGGAAATTTTCCCAGCAGATCAGGCTGAGAACAAAACAGAGTTGGTGTTTCACGTTGATGAAAGAGAGATCTTGGTTTACTGATGAAAGAATGGTTGTGGTTATGCAGACTCAACTACTGAACTTATGCATCATTACATACGAAATATTTTATGGCAATTGTGTCCACCGTTATCCTACAAACTATGGTTGCAGTAAAATAATTCACGTAATTATCAAACGATTAGAAAATGTTTTAAAAATTGACCAGAATGCAATATCTTTTCTGTACAGTACATTTATGAAAAAATACATTGGCAATTTACACTATATATGCAAATACTACAGAAAACTGCAAACAGTTCTTGGGTAAACCTCAGCGATGTTAGTAATATCAGTATGGTACATGGCATAGTTTTTGTAAAGAGCACCTGAAACTAGAGAAACCAACCAGGGGGGTTTACAGCAATTATAGAATATCATTGTTATTTAAAATAAGATTAAAGGTAACGTCTGAGACTGCCTAATTCATTAATGAGCTCGATTTGCATTTCATTGTTGACCACAATAACCTATGGCATTGACACAGAAGGGCTTTTTATTTATGAGGGAGTGACACTTAAGCTGACACTTTGTGCTGTGACTAATACTTTCAGAAGAATTTTGAGACATATCAGCCTCATTAGTGTGTATCTGTTTGTGAGATTTCTACTGAGGTGTGTGAATGAGCTGTCAAAGTGTTTAAATATGCTTAGCAGCAACAACATATTGTATGAGTCACATACACAGTAAAGTACCTGTGAGTTAATAAGTGTTTCTGTGGCACAGGAGCAGCTCGTTGTATTTATTTTTTTATAATCCCTACAGAATGGAAACAGGCCATTCGGCCCAACACTGACGCTCTGAAGAGCATCCATCTAGATGCATCCCCCTACCCTACCCCTCTAACTCTGCATTCCCCATGGCTAATGCATCTAACCTAGACATCCCTGAACAGTGGGTAATTTAGCATGGCCAGTCCACCTATGCAAGGGGCAATTTATCTAATACGGTATATTTAAAGCATAGATGTCAAGGTACTTTACTTTGTTCTTATATTGGTGAACATTTCATGAAAGTATTTGTTTGAATTTTGAACAGATTTTGACACCCATTTCAAAATTTGCCATTGAATAACTTGAGGTGTTTTAAGAATGAATTGTTTGTTCACAGTTCACTACTTGTATGTACATTGTTGGAATGAGCCACAACTCCCTTTAAGATATTAATTCCAGTCCAAACCATAGCAATTTGTGTACTACTTAAATAGCTGACCTGCACCTAAAAAGATTACAATTGGTGTTCTGCAGAAGTATAGTTGCTATCTTTATACTAAGGTGTTGTTTCTTGTACATAGAATTATGTAGATTGTTTTTCAGGGTGTCATCTTGAATCTCAGCAAAATTGCTGTAGAGTCAGAGGTTTGCAGCACGCGCAGAAGCCCTTCGACTCATGTCTGTGTGAGTTATCAAAAATCCATCTATTCTAATCCCATTTTCCAGCACTTGGCCTGTAGGCTTGGCTGCTATAGCGTTTTATGTAACTAGTTCTTAAATATCATGAGGGTTTCTGCCTCTGCTGCCTTTTAAGAGTGAGTTCCAGCTATCCACAACCCTCTGGATAAATTGTTTTCTCCTCACATTCTCTCTAAACCTGTTGCTTGTTAGCTTAAAACTGTGCCCCCTGGTTATTGACCCTTCCTAATAAAGGGGTGAAAATTTTTTTCATCTACTATGTCTATGCCTCTGAAATCTTTGTATACCTTAATCATATTTCCATTCCCTCCTCAGCCTTTTCTGCTGTTGTAAACAACCCCAACCAGTCTAGTCTGCCTTCTTGACTGAATTGCTATAGCCTCGGCAACATCCTGGTGAATCTTTTTTGCACCTCTCTCGTGCAATCATATCCTTCTCATAGTGTGGCCATGAATTGTGCACAATACTCCAACTGTTACCTAACTAATTTTATAGACAGCTCCACCATAATCTCCTTGCTCTTGTTTTCAGTGCCTTAACTCATAACACATATCCTTTTAACAACTGTATCTACCTGTGCTAGTGTTTTCATGGATCTGTGTATATGCACACCAATATCCCTCTGATCCTCTACTTCCTAGGGCTGGACAATTTAACATGTACTCTCTTGCCTCTCGGGATGTATCACAGGAATAAATTCAGTTTGCCACTGATTAGCTCATCTCACCAGCTGGACTATATTATCCAAGATTTGTCGTCTGCACACTTACAGATCATACCTCCTGCATTCGTGTCTAGATTAATAAAGTAAACAACAAACAGAAAGAGACCCAGCACAGAGCACTGTGGTATGCCAGTGGACACAGTCTTCCAGTCGCACAAACACCCTTCGACCATCACCCTCTGCTTCCTGCCCCATGCCAGTTTTGGATCCAATTTACCAAATTTCTTTCGATCCCATGAGCTTAACCATTCTGGCATGCGAGACCATGTTGGAAACCTTACAAAAATCCATGTATACCACATCAACTCCTCTACCTTCGTCTATACGGCTGTCAACTCCGCTCAAATTCATTAGACATGATCTCCTCCTTTCAAAGTCACTTTGACTATCCTCTATTAATCCTTTCCTCTCCGAGTTTGTTTGAAGATTAATTCTGTCCTCAGAATTTTTTACAATAGTTTCCCTACTACGGATGGCCTGTAGCTTCTTGGTTTATCCCTACCCACTCCTTGAATATCAGCTTCACATTAGCTGTCCTCCATTCCTCTGGTATCCATTCTGTGGAATTAATGTCAGATCCCCTGAAATCTTCTCCCTTGCCTCCAATAGCCTTGGATACATCTCCTCAGCATGAGGATTTATCTGCCTTCAAGCATACTAAAATAATTCCCTGCTCACTGCTAATTTCAAGTATATCTGTGTCCCCATCCTATATCATCCTTCTCTCTCTAATTCTGTGTTCATTTAAATCCTTAGCTGTGTTTTCTGGCTTCACGCACAGACTGCCACTTTGGTCCCCAATGGGCCCTACTTGTTCCCTGGTTATTCTGTTAGGTGCCTTTGAATTTTCCTTAGTGTTACATGCCAGTGTTTTTACATGTCCCCTGCTTGCTCAACTAATTTCTTTTTTAAGCAACTCCCTGCACTTTCTGTATGCCTAATGTGAGGCTTTTAGATCCACTAAAAGCTTCGTTATTTTTCTGTTATTCAATCTTGAACATTTATTGATATCTGGCATTCTCTGGACTTGTTGGACTTAGCATGATGGGAACATGCTGGTTGTGAAGGTTAATTTTCTGGCATGTAGCTGTTCCCAGTCCACTTTGGCCAGATCCTGTTTTATCTTATTAAAATTGATCTCCCCTTAGTTCAGAAATTTTATTTCTGGTCCGTCTTTGTCTTTGTACATAAATACCTTAAATCTTACTGAGTTATGGTCTCTGTCACCAAAATTGTCTTTCACTGCCACGTTCACCACTTGCCCAGCTTCATTTCCTAAAATAGGTCTAGTACTGTCCCCTCTCTTTTAGGATTTTCTATGTGTTGGCTTAAAAAGCTCTCTTGGGCACATTTGAAGAATTCTGTCCCCTTAGTCTTTCACATTTTGTCCATCTCAGTTAAGATTAGAAATCCTTATTATTGTTACCCTGTTATTTTTATGCTTCTGAGATTTGCCTTTCTATATTTCCCTAAATGTTTTGCAGTCTATAGCACATCCCAGCAAAAGTGGTTGGTCTCATTTTTGATTTTAA